GCATCTCTTTTTAAAGCATGGTGGTAATAGGTGTACATGGGGTGTACATACTGTACAAGAAACATTTCCCATCAGCCACGCTCAATCACAAAGGTTGAATTCAAATGTAATAGGTGAATGGTGTTTGACTACTCTGTATTTGAACATACAGTATACACTACAGAGGTCTATGTCTATGACGTCACAATATCTTTTGTTGGTCAGACGACAGTTTTACATAGATTTTTTAACTGATGCATTTTTAAACTGAATTTTAAAACACCATATCTTTATTTGAACTTTGTAAACTTTTAATATGGCGAACTGTTGCATTCTTTCACATTTTTAATAGGATATACTGTACTTAGCCATATTGACCGGATCCTGACTAGTTGCTCAAGATAAAAAGGCTGTGTCACACCACATGTTACCATGACAAAATGACGTAGTAGTCTATGTTTAAGGTGTACAAAAGTGTGCATGGGATTTGCATGTTACACAATGGTTTTTATATGTATGTATGTAAGTTATGCATCCATAGATCTTGAATGAATGTTGAAGTGAGGTTAGAGGTTCATCCTAAATTATTTTGCACTCTGGAAATATGATTCATGTCTGCCTCTCATTTCACATCTGCCAAGGAGCTACTGTACAATCAACAGTTGTCAAAATTCTTTGTCTCCCTATTCTGGGTCCTATTTCTCAAGTGCAATCAATTCTTGTCAAGCTTCAGTGTCTGCACTGGCTTAAAGAATGAGCTATGGACCCAAATTACAAACATTTAGAAAACACTATGACCACCATAATTAAAGAAAGCTAAGTCTAATGACGTTAAACCTTCGGAAGATAAGAAACAAAGACCTGTACAATACACAGGACAACTAATAGAGACTAAAAGAGAATTTAAATAGGAAGCCACATTTTGCATTTCCAAAAGAGAAACCTTATCTAAAACAAACAAAAGATGTGTGAAAAATAAACAATTATTTCTGTAAACTTCGATAAACTATCAAATACTTAAACGCCATAAGCAATAAAAGCTTAATCTATTATAAAGAAAAGCCTGCACATACACACATTATTTTAAAATCATCAAGGACACAGAATAAGCCCAATTGAGGCAATTATTATGCAAAAGAACAAGTAGAATGCTAGGTCCCAGGATTTATAGCACTAAAAATATTTTACTTTAGGCCAAAATATACTAATAACTGGTGTCCATAAATATTCATTACTTGATATTTAGAATTTACATGTGTTAAGTCCCATACATGTGTTCAACATAGCTATGTATCTCCACTAACAAAAGCCTTGCTTACTGAGGTATACCCAAATACCATCTATTCTAATAAAGGGCAGATTCCTTATGAAAAGATTTATTATCTCATTACCTAGCTTTGTATTCACAAAACTAGAATTTACATGATGATAATGATACTAATTTGAGTAAGGATGAAAAGTTTGTGACAATTTTTATCATCCAGACACCCCTACAGATCTGGAAGAATGATAGTGTAGCTCCATTCTTTAAGGTGCCTTACCATTATTGGCATATTTTGAGTTCCTATTTATGTCCATTAGACTATAGTAAACATTTTTCAGGCTAATTTAAAATGTTATTTTTTGCTTTCAAGTCTGTCAAAAGATAGTGACGGTGACAGGACAGAAGAGAGTTCCCCACGTCATTTAAACTTATGTCATTTTTCTTTTTGTGCCCTTTTTCTTCCTCGACCTTCTCCTGCAAATATCTGGACCCACCCCTCAGCTCACGAAAAGGCCACCAAAAGCAGTTTTTTCGTGAGTAAACAAACAATCCTACATACTGTACTAAGGCTGAAAGTAACCATGAATTGTAGAGTATCTATACAATTCAACAAATGTATGGCATTGAGAGTGTAAATTTATTAAGAAAACGTATTTAATAGCAACTCTGTAGGTAGAAAGTAAGTGTCCGTTGCCATAATATGAAAGCTCTGCTCAGTAATATTGAGAAGAAATCATAAATTAATTAATTAGGCTATACATAGTTCCCTCACATTTAGTTCATAAATGTTATAATAGTTAAGTAAGCAACTTGTTTTTCTAGGAAGATTTGCTTCCCAATATAGCAGACAAATCACAAACCAAAAGGAAGCTGGACAATAAAGGCTACTAGATAGCTGGATAATTAAGGCTACTAGATGGTTGGAATAATGAAGACTAAGGCTGTGTTTATACTACACACTAAATACGAACACGGATTCACGTCCTTGAATGTGTTTACGCTAGCCGAGACGATCCTCCAAACGTCGGCGTTTATACAACACACCATTACAAGG